CCTCCTTTCTGGGCGTTGCCTCTCACTCCACCGGCTCAAGGACAGGGGACACTCTTCTCACTGGCCACTTGCCCCAGCTTTGGACAAACCAGACCCTTAGTAAATGACGGCTGAACAGAACCAATTGGAAGATCTCCAAAAGGTTCTGCACCATTGCTGGCCTCAAAGACTCGGCATCTCAGTGGACAATATTTTATCCCCATCAATAGTAACAGTTGAGTCCTACCCAATAAAAGCACAGGCGAAGACAGGCCGGCTCAAGGACCTGGCACTCTGCTGCAGGGCTTCCCAACCTCAGCGCAGTGCACACGGGGGCCGGGTGATTCTTCGCTGGGGGGAGGGGAGCCTGTCCCGTGCACTGAGGGACGTTAAGCAGTAACCCAGGCCCCACCAGCTACCTGCCCAGAACGCCTCCTCCCGAGCTGTGACAACCCAAACTGTCTCCAGACGTTGCCAAAGATCCCCCAAGTGGCAGAACCTCCCTCTCCGCTGAGGATGGCTGACTTTGAAGGAAGGAGGTTGACTTTGTCCTTCAGAACCCTCAGCTGGAAGGTGTGGGCTACTTTGCTCCCTGCAGTGACGGTCACACAGGGACAAAGGTGGACACAAACCCAGGCACTTCTCCAAAGCCCAGATTCCTTCCATCTACGGTTTATAATTGTTAGTTTTTTCTTTTTTTAAAAAAATAGTATGGCTGCCTTTCTCTCCAGGCTACCCATCCTGGAATAGTCACAACTTTATCATCATTTCATAAAGTTTGATGCGCCTGAAGCCTGCTATGACCTGTGCCGAGGAGGGTTTCCGGCAGGGCCAGCACGGAGGGCAGGCCACCATCTCTGTCACACAGGGGTCCTCTGCCTTGCAGAGTCAAGAGCGGTCAATTACTGGTCAGCATGCAAGGCCCTGTGACGTCACAGCATGAAGAGTAAGGAGACCACCTCCACGTGTTCATGCAGCCTGTGCCCCTGGCCGCTAGCTTTGTGCGTGTACGGTCTGGACCCAGGCAGAGGGGCAGATGAGCCTTTGTTACTCACCTGCAGCTGTGACTCTGCTGCCCTTTTCTCCTTGTGGTGCCAGCGGAAGCTTGGGGTTCCCAAAGCCCCATCCCCCACAAAGGGCTGTGAACCGGCTCTTCCCCCAGCTCCTGTCCAACTGGAAGGCCCCGGGAAGCAGGGCTGGGTGGAGTCACAAGGCCCTGGCACCTGTTACTTGGCTGGCACCACCCATGAATGCTAAATGCATGAAAGATAAAAACAGCAGCCAAACAAAGACGGTGGACAGGCCCATGCTCACGAGTTCTTTATTGGAATAAATAATAGCATACTGTGACGCCACGTGGCATTGTCCTAACCGCATCTCTGGCTTAAGAAGTGTTTGCCTGGTGTTGCAGCGAGCTCCCAAAAAGCGCTTGCTTCCTGCGGTCAGCCAGGTGGGCCTGCCCAACAGCATGGCCAGGGTTTTCGTGGGTTTTATTTAACGTCCAGGAATCTAAAGTAAACATTGCTTAAAACAGTTATGAAGACAGTAAAATACTGGCACACAAAACAGGGGGAAAGGATTCAGTCGCTTTAAAATAAAACTGCTCTTTGTCACCTCCAATTAGGACACCACGGCCCAGCGGGGCTCTGGGCTCAGTGCTTGCATAACACTGTGTGGGTGTCAAAGGGGAACTGAAGCTGCGGGAGGCTCCCCTAGCTGGTGTGGGTTGAGAGACACGTCACGCGGAGAAGGAGAATCAGCAAATACCTTCCTGCCCTTGTCCGAGCGTCCACTCGGGCCTTGCAGACCTGAGACCCCCTTGTACTGGGATGTTTGTCCCCATGGGTGGACACACACGGCCTTGCTTTCACTTAGTTCCTATGGACCAGGGTTCCTCTTCAAAGAACCATTCACTGAAAAGGTGGTGCTGGGAGGAGAAAGGGTCCCAGAACTTCTCTGAACTAAGAACCAAGAGCAGCAGCAGACAGGGCATCTCACACCCAAGCCTCATGTCCCAGCAGCCATTCATCCCGAGCCTAGAGGAATCGAGTTCACCCTAAATTCTGCCTTGGAACCGGCCCCTTGACGCATCTGTCCAGGCCATGCTATGATTTCGGACTCAAACTGATGGTGAATGGAGAAAAATGAGAGGAGTCAAGCCTAATGGGACCCTCCCCAGGTATGCAAAAGGCACACCTACACCTTTGAACCAATTGGAAAAGATTGTGGACAAAAGATCACATCCAAGCCGGGTGTAGTGGCATGCACCTGTGGTTCCAGGGACTCGGGATGCAGAAGCGGGTGGATCACCTGAGCCCAGGAGTTCAAGGCTGTAGTCTGCTACAGGTGTGTCTGTGAATGACCACTGCACTCCAGCCTGGGCAACGCAGCAAGATCTTATCTCAAAATTTAAAAACAATCCCATCCTTTGCTGGAACCACGGCCTTTAAGGGTCCCTGTTGTGAAACACGAGGCCTGTGTAGCTTCCCTACAGATCTTATGATTCCTTTTACTGTTCAACTTGAAACCCAGAAGAGTGTGACATGGACACGAGGATGGGCATGTGTTTACCAGATGGGGGCTGCCAGGACCTCCCTGGGAAGGTGAAGCCCCCTCCCAGAGTAACTGGCCTCTCCCCTCTGATGACACAGAATGGGCTGGGATTGCTCATTTTGGCTGAAAGTTGCAGCTCTGATTTTTTGTGTTTTTTTTTTTTTTTTTTTTTTTTTTTTTTTTTTTTTTTGAGACGTGGAGTCTCACTCTGTCACCCAGGCTGGAGTGCAGTGGCATGATCTCAGCTCACTGCAACCTCTGCCTCCCGGGTTCATTCCATTCTCCTGCCTCAGCCTCCTGAGTAGCTGGGACTACAGGCATGCACCACCACGCCTGGCTAATTTTTGTTTTTTAATAGACACGGGATTTCACCATGTTGGCCAGGCTGGTCTTGAACTTCTGACCCCGAGTGATCCACCTGCCTCAGACTCCCAAAGTGCTAGGATTACAGGCACGAGCCACTGCGCCTGCCCAAGCTCTGTTCTTTTCAAATCCCCAACCCCAGGAAGGCACAGCGCCCTCTCCAGGCCCACGTGGGAGCAGGGCAAGGCCGGGCCGCTCCACCAGCTCCAGGGGGCCGTGATCCTGTCCGTGCCACGCAGGCAGCACGGAACGTTCCAGTCCCAGGTTTTTTGTCAGTGTGGCTCTTTAATGTCACTGCATCCCGCAGGAGACACCGTAATGCTGTTTTAATTATTTCTTTCCCCCGCTGGGAAATCACCTCCATCAAAATGGCTATTCTGAAATCATCCCCAGCCTAGCAACAGCCGGAACTGAGGGGGAATATTAAACTGTTTTCTAAAACTTCGGTGTTGGCATTCGATTTCGTATTAAAACTTACTCCACAGCTCTGATCTGCGGCAGGAAGACAAAAAGCTAACAGGATCAGAAAGGCCAGGCTCACTACAGAGAATGCTGAGAGATGCCAAGGAAGGCGGCCGCTTTGCTGCAGGTGCAATCCAGGGGGTCGGCGGGTCATAACCCTGGGAAGGAGCTGGGGAGGGGGGCGCCACAGCGAGGGAGCCACTGTGACCAGAGGCCAGCCCAGAAAGCATGGCGGATGGGATCCCCAATTCTCTGCAGAGCTGGGGTGAGCGAAGGGGTGAACAGCTCATAACTGAGTGAGCAGCGACTCCTTTTACAGGATACTCTAAAGGGAGATGCTCTCAGGGCTACAGGGAGAGTGAGATGAACACTTCATATCCTCCCATTACAAGGGGAATTATGTCCCCCGCCTCCAAATCCACATGCTGAAGTCCTAACCCCAGCCCCTCTGATGTGATGGTATTTGGAGATAGGGTCTTTATGGAGGTAATCAAGATAAATGAGGTCATATAAGTGCGCCCTAATCCAATAGGACCACAGCCCTTCTAAGAAGAGGGGGTCAGGCTGGGCATGGCCACTAGTGCCTATAATCTCAGCACTTTGGGAGGCTGAGGTGGGTGGGTCGCTCAAACCCAGGAGTTTGAGACCAGCCTGGGCAACATGGTGAAATCCTGTCTCTACAAAAAATACAAAAATTAGATGGACCTAGTGGTATGCACTTTGTAGTCCCAGCTACTTGGGAGGCTGAGGTGGGAGGATCAATTAAGCCTGGGAGATCAAGGCTGCTGCAGTGAGCTGAGGTGGCACCACTTTACTCCTGGGTGACAGAGTGAGACCTTATCTCCAAAAAAAATAAAAATTAAAATTAAACGCTGGGCATGGGCATGGTGGCTCACACCTGTAATCCCAGCACTTTGGGAGGCTGAAGTGGGCGAATCACAAGGTCAGGAGATTGAGACCAGCCTGGCCAACATGGTGAAACCCCATCTCTACTAAAAATACAAAAATTAGATGGGCCTAGTGGTATGCACTTGTGGTTCCAGCTACTTGGGAGGCGGAGGCAGGAGAATGGCTCGAATCTGGGAGGCAGAGGTTGCAGTGAGCCAAGATCACGCCACTGCACTCCAGCCTGGTGACAGAGCAAGACTCCGTCTCAAAACTAAATAAATAAATAAAATAAAAGAGGCAGTGAGGACACAGACACACAGAGGGGAGACCCTGTGAAGATACTGGGGGAAGCCGGCATCGACAAGCCAAGGTGAAAGGCCCCAGGATGTAACTCTCTGATGTCTCAGCCACTCACCTGCGGCACTTTACTACACAAAGCCAGTGAACCGACGCGCCCCCTCATTTTAAAGTTTCCGAAGACACATTCGTTCCCAAAAAGGGCCTCTGAAGGGGAAAGCTGGGGTGCAAGCTGTCTCAAGCAGCACAATTAGAGCCATCTCCAGACCCAGCCCCTCAACCACAGCAAGAAATGAAGAAACATCCCCAGCAAACAGCTCCTTTCAATGCCTGTGGGAGCTGGGCCATCCTAAGTCTTAGATGTTCGTGCGAAAGCTACATTAAAACAACAACGAGTGGCCAAGAAGCCATAGGAATGTGGGTGGAGGACACTCGTGTCACATCTAAGCTTCTGGGACTTTAAAGTTTTTCAAACTGCAAAATCCTTTTATTAAATAGGCATCACTTCGAAGGCGAGCCCAGCCCAGGTGATCCCTGGTGAATCATCAAGCCCGGGTCCTCGGGGAGCTGGCATTCCTGCTGAGCTGATGTTGTACTTCTGAAGGCCTGTGACCGCTAATTGCACCATCAGGTGGAATGCAGGGTGCTCTCAACTAGCTGTGGGTTGGGCTTCAGGCTTTTTTCCATCTTTCAGCCAAGGCAGACAATAACGGACTCCATCCCACGCAACTGAGTGATGCGAGGCCTCAAACGCAAGCACGGGTGTTTAGAATCCTGCATTTTCAAAGGCTCTTGCCCACTGGGAATTACATGGAAAGAAGATTAAGAACCACCACCAAAAGAGGCAGGGGGTGGTGCGGGCGTGAGGTAGGGGTGGGGTGGGGATGACAGTCAACACAGTTTGGACCAGAAGCCCATGGCACCCGGCTCCCTGCAAAGGCACAGGGCACAGACAGATGTCGCCTTTCTTGCTGGGATACTCCTGCCACCGTCCACAGGTCCTCCATCACTCCACGTTCTTGTACTTGGTGAACAGGTTGTAAAGAACCCTCAGGGTGGATTTGAGGTCCAAGTTCACCACGTCTGCAGAAGGAAACAGAGAAACCTCAGAGGCCCTGCCATCCTCCTGTCATTGCAGTAGGTACTCTCAGAAGCCATGTCTCCAGCATGACACCAGCTGCCGCGTCCACACAGAGCGCTTCCCCTTAAAGACCTGCCACCACCACATCCAGGACGCTCTGAGCGGCGCCTCCCCAGACACACCGGTTGTGTGAGAGCTCCCGGTGCGGGCTGACACCCTGCGGGACAGGCACCTGGGGTGACAAGAACAGAGACACTTCCACAGCCCGTCCTGGATCGGCACCAGGACGTGTCTAAGGACCGGTTGGGGGACATGGCTAATGACACTTACTGGGACCAAAAACCCTAGTAACACTTAATGGACCTGACGGCTCCCTCTGGGGCCCTGGAAGTCTTGGGCCACTTTCTTTGGGTGGACAAGAACCTTCCTGGGAATCAGACACCTTGTTCATTTCACTTGCTCTGTGACCTCTAAGTGACTTCCGTGATTTGGGGCTCAGACTCTCCATCTGTAAAATGGGCCTGGACCAGATAATGCTCGAGGCCCTTTGAGTCCTGACTCCCTGTGATCCAAAAGCAGCCACAGGATGACCTTGTGCTTTAGCCCTGATCACAAGAGCAAGAAACAGCATGTTACTGAGAGAGCAGGTGGGGTGGATGCTAAGAATCAGCAACTGTCCTTGTCACCAGGCGTGGAGTTTCTCAACTTGCACACCCTCATCAGAGCCTGCACAGCCTCCTTTCCTTCCCTCTTGTTTTACAAAGAGGACCAAGACTCACTGTGGAGAAATGAGCTGCCCACAAGTGTGCTGTCAGAGCAAAAGCAGGGCTGAACTCGGCTCGGTGGGCTTGGGAACACACCCAGGGCTCTGTCGGGGATCCCAGGGTCTCCCCCTGGCCTGAAGGGTCCACCCCAGCTCCCAACAGCCCAGTGGAGGCAGCGGAGGGAGGATGGCAGCCACGGAGTTGGAGGTGGCCAAGGCGAGGGGGGCAGCAGGGACAGAGCAGCTCCCAGGGGCGGGGGCCGTCACTCCCTGGCCCCCTCTGAGTCCACTCCCATGGTGGACTCACAGGGAGACCAGAGCAGCAGCCTGGCACCGATGCCCCCACTCAACAGCCCCCAGGTCTGAGCTCTGAGAACTTCGAGACAGCCTTGCTGGACAAACAGAACTCAACCCTCACACCCCTGCCAGACCCTGCTAACCACGGCCATCCCTTAGCACCTGTGCCCAGGGACAGGCATCCCCTTCTGTGACCCGTGAACCTCAGTCCCTCTGTGCTCCCCAAACACCCACCCCACCACCCAGCTCCGGTACTCGGCTCTGTGAATTTCGAGCGAGCCACAAGCCTTTCTCCCAGGCAAGGGGCCTCCTTAAGGGCAGGGTCGGGGACCCCACTGGAGTCTCCGCCAGGTCTCTGCAAGGGGGTAGGGGGCCAGGATGCCCATCGGAGCTGGGGGCCTGGGGAACCAGGTATGGGCCTGGCTTTTCAGACCCACCCACGTGCAGGGGGCATGAGACTGCTCTGCTTCCTCCCAGTGGGGACCAACAGGGCAGTTTCAGGCCCGCAGGGGAGGAGGTCACAGCCACTGCCTCCCTCCCCACCAGCTCTGGGTACCCAGGTAAGTCTGCCTAGCTTGGAGGAGGGCATCAGGGAGACCACAGCCACTGTGCTGCAGTCTCCATGTCATTCTCATCTTTGTTACCTCCTGATTCTTGCTCCCCAGATGGTTTTGAATGAAGAAGGAAAAATCTCTCATTCATTGCATCAGCCACAAAATCAAGAGGCTCAGCAGGGACCCCGTCTCATAAATCTCTGCGGCTTGGCCCCTGCCCAGTGCTGGCCCAGCGACAGTGCTAATGAGCACTGCAGACCAGCTCTGTCCCCTGCCTGGGCTGGACAGAGGCCCTGGGACACCTGAGGGACCCTGCCTAAGAGGCTGCAGAACCTGCTATTTGCCCCGGGCCGGTGGCGCCTCTGCCTCTGGCCTGGTTTCCATGTGTCCGTGGTGGGTTCCCTGACGTGCTGTCCAGCGGCAGATGAGTAGGAAACACATCCAGGCTCGGGGCAAACCCCCTGCTCGGAAACCGGCCTGTCAGAGGATATCCCGGCCTCTGGACGGGCTCCTGCCTCACTCCTCAAAAAGGGGACAAAGGGCTGGGCGCGATGGCTCACACCTGTAATCCCAGCACTTTGCGAGGCCGAGGCAGGTGGATCACCTGAGGTCAGGAGTTCAAGACCAGCCTGGCCAACATGGTGAAACACCATCTCTACTAAAAATAGAAAAATTAGCCAGGCATGGTGGTGGGTGCCTGTAATCCCAGCTACTCGGGAAACTGAGGCAAGAGAATTGCTTGAACCCAGGAGGAGGAGATTGCAGTGAGCTGGGATCGTGCCATTGCACTCCAGCCTGGGTGACAAAGCAAAACTGTCCCAGAAAAAAAAAAAAAGTCGGGGGTTTGGGGAGGACAAAGAACCAGGGCTTCCTCAGCAGCTCAGAGGCCAAGGGCCACCAGGGGTTCTTCTGAGGGTACGGGGGAGCAGCCCATGCTGCAGATAGGGCCCAGGCTTTAGGCTACAGGAAACCAAAGGAAGCCCCAGCCAAGCCCACAGCGGACATGAGCAAGGATTTCTCCTCCCTGACAGTGTGCAACCCACCAGACACGAACGCTGAGCTAGCAGCCACCATCAGCAGGGACCTGGCGTGTTTTGTGGGCAGGACCTCTTCCACTGCTCAGAGGAGCAGCTCACTTGAGCCGAATAGGTGCTCAGGGGCAGTCAGGCTCAGCAGCACGCGGGTGGCACTGCCCGGGAGCCCTGCTGGAAAGGTACAGAGCAGAGTTGAACACTGAAGGCTCTGACAAGTCCTGCGTGATGCACGCCCCCAGCAACCTCATGAGACGCATGGAGGCAGGTGCCGTCGTCACTCCCCTGCACAGATGAGGAGGAGGCCCTGGCACAGAAAGGCAAAGTAACCTGTCCGAAGACGCACAGCTGGGGAGAGGCAAAGCAGCATCCCTCGGGCCCCTAGCCACTCCCTCATGCCCCTGCCTCGCAGCAACAAAAGGGCTGAGGGGCAGCAGCAACAAGGAGTCCCAGAGACCCAGGCCGGGCCGGCCTCTACAGGCAGCAGCTTGCCACACTCCCTGCTGGACGTGTGCTTGGATCCAGTGCTGTCGAGCAGTTTCCAGGCCAGGCACGGTTCTCAGCACCGGCATGCAGCGGACAAATCCCTGCCCCCTTGAGGCTTCCATTCTAGTGGGGAGGGAGGGACAATAAAGAACAAACAAGGCCAGGCACGGGGGCTTGCGCCTGTGATGGGAGGCAGGTGAATCGCTTGAGCCCAGAAGTTCGACACCAGTCTGGGCAACATAGTGAGACCTTGTCTTTACAAAAAAGAAAAGTTAAAAAATTAGCCGGGCATGGTGGTATGCACCTTAGTCCCAGCTACTCGAGAGGCTGAGGTGGGAGGATGGTATGAACCCAAGAGGCAGAGGTTGCAGTGAGCTGTGATCACACCACTGCACTCCAGCCTGGGTGACAGAGTGAGACCCCGTCTCAAAACAAAAAAGAATAAACAGCCACACACACAATGAGACAGGAGGGTGTGAAACTGTCCTGTGAAACCCTGAGAGGAGGATGAACAGGCAGGAAGGGACTGGCCAGGAGCCTTCTGCGTGGACTGGCAGGAGGCAGAGGCTGCGGTGGGTGGATGGAAGGGACAGGATCCATTTTCTAGCTATTCTGGAAACTCTACAAAGCCCGCCATTGAGCAGATGCTGGCAACAGATGCAGGAAGCATCACAGACCCCCAACTCATACACCGCCATGGGGGACTCAGGAGAGGGAGCAGGGCTAGGTAGGGGGCCACGGTCAAAGGGGGGCCCACGGGCACTAACCCCCAGTGTCTGAGTTCTGTGGGCTTCTCCTGCATGGCAAAAGTTTTGATGGAGGCAAAGAGATGTCTTCATACAGGACTTGTCAAAGCCTTTAATATTCAACTCTGCCCTGTAACTTTCCAGCAGGGTTCACAGGGAGTGCCACCCACGTCCTGCGGAGCCTGGCTGTCCCCAAGCACCTATGAAGAAGCCTTCCCAGCAATTCTGATGCTCACTCAGGTGAGAGGGTCCTCCTATAGGTAACTTGGCACAGGAGCCAGGTGGGGACAGGGAAGTGACCGCCACCCCCCTACAGCTCTGCTAGCCTTCTGCCTCCAGCTCCAACCCACGCAGAGCAGGAGCGTGCCAAGTCCCTGCTCCCAGGCACTGCCTTCGGCTGAGCATCAGGGGACCTCCACCCCAACAGTCATTAAATTTGAGTAAGCCTTTAATATCTTCTCAGGGCTCAAAGCTGCATTTCCAGCCTGAGTGGCCAGCCAGAGACACACTTAATCCTGAGGTCCGTGGGCAGAGGCCACGTCCTTCAAAGTCAAGTGGTTATTAAAGAACTGGCACTGCCAGCTCTACCAGCGAAGCCCTCCTGGTTCCCAAAATGAGGAGATTGAGGAGTTGAGGTTGGTAGACTGTTGCCCCAGAGCCAGAGACGTGGGGCCCATCTGAGGAACAACACGCCAGCCTTCCAGCCACTTCTAGGACCCACTCTTCTTCCCCTCCATGTGCAGCCCTCCCAGGGGAACCTGAGCCAGGGGCATTACCTTCAGGACGAGCCTTGGGTTTCTTGAGGCCTCCGTCCAGCATCAGCTCAAAGGCAAAGGACACATTATGGACCTGCCAAGGAAGCAGGTGGGTCAGCGTTGGGGTCCAACAGTCGTTCCCACCCACTGCCCACTGCTGGAGGACAGCCAGCATGGACAGGACCGAGCCTTTGCAATGCTGACGTCCACAAGGACCCAGTGAACCTGGGGCAGACCGCAGGGTGGGCAGAGACGGGTGAGCAAGTCTGCAGAGGGCCACATGCACTCACTAGGTGGTTCTCACCCCTCACACTGGTGATCTGGGCTGAGAGATGGAAGGATGAGGTACCCGGCCTGCTCACGAGGGCTCACGGCCACCAAGAGCCTGCTCTGCCCCAGATGCCAGCCACATGATGAGAAGTCACAGTGACCCCATTTTATCTATTTATTTACTTACTTTTTTTGAGACAGGGTCTAGAGCACAGGCTAGTGCAGTGGTGAGATCTCGGCTCACTGCAATCTCTACCTCCCAGGCTCAAGCCATCTTCCCGCCTCAGCTTCCCCAGTAGTTGGGACTATAAGCACGCATCACTGTGCCCGGCTAATGTTTGCATTATTTTTATTTTTTTTAGAGACAGGTTTTGCCATGTTGGCCAGGCTAGTCTCTAACTCTTGGACTCAAGTGATCCACCCGCCTCAGCCTCCCAAAGTGCTGGGATTACAGGCGTGAGCCACCACGCCTGGCCCACAGTGACCCCATTTTACAGACAGGGAAACCGAGGCCCAGAGAGGATGAGTCCCGTGCAGAGGCACGCAGGCCTGGGCACTGCCTCAGGAAGGGCTGTAAAGATCTGCACGTGAGGCTGTGTCTCTCTGCAGGATGAGGTGACTTCAGGGGAGGGAGGGCCCCAGCACTGAGTAGGGACAGTGGGCCGGTCAGAAGGGAAGTCAGACCGACGGTGGCTGCAAGGGTCAGCCTGCAGGACCTTGGTCCTGTTAGAGCTGCAGAAAGGCGGCCACCTCCCCCCGACCATGACTTCCCTTGAAATTAAAGGGTCTATTACTCCTCAGCCCCCAAGTGTACTTGAAACTTTTATTCTCCTAATGATGGCTGAATAGGTTTAAAATAAGAGCCTTCTGGGCTGTGTTTAAAGACCACTCAGAGGGATGCAGGTGATGAACTAGGTTACATCCAGCCACCCACCTGCTGCAAGACAAGGCTGATGGGAGGAGGGGACATCAAACCATCAAACAGCAAACAAACACAGATGTTATAGTGCAAGGGACTTCAGGGCTCTTAGTAATCAAATATCCTGGCTGGGCGCGGTGGCTCACACCTGTAGTCCCAGCACTTTGGGAGGCCAAGGCAGGTGGATCAATTGAGGTCAGGCATTTGAGACCAGCCTGATCAATGTGGTGAAACCCCGTCTCTACTAAAAATACAAAAATTAGCCAGGCTCGGTGGTGCGCACCTGTAATCCCAGCTATTTGGGTGGCTGAGGCACGAGAATTGCTTGAACCCGGGAGGCGGAGGTTGCAGTGAGCTGAGATCGCGCCACTGCATTCCAGCCTGGGTGACAGAGCAAGACTCTGTCTCAAAAACAGACAAAAAATTCCTTCAACAATCATATTTTCATGATTTTGAGGTCAATGAATCAGAAACATGAACAATTTTACTTGCAATGTAATTTAATAATTAACCTGGAAAAAGAGGCTTCCCTAGGTTAATCAAATGCACAGCACTGGAAAACAGCTTTGGAAAAGCTTCCACAGCACACACAGCCTGTGCTCGGAGAAGCAGAGGGGCGAATGATGTGCCAGCGCCAACCGCGAGACGGTCTGGCTAGTCACGGGGTCAGTGGGGAAGGCACAGCCTGGCAGGAGGGCAGGTCATGTCCACCCATGGGCGGGAGCACAGCAGACCGAGACCCTGCTCCAGAGGCCAACTCAGATGCTGCCAATGGGAACACCGGGCAACATGGCAGACACCTCAACCCTGCAGGACAGCCTGCCTGGAAATGGGGGAGTGCTGCACCAGGGCTGGGCCTGAGGATGGCCAAACACTGGCAACAGGGGAGGAGTGTGAACGGACCGTGTGGAAGGTGCAGAACACAGCTTCCCTAAGGAGAGAGCAGGGAGCGACCTGCGGGTGCTGGGCACCCACCATGGGGTCGGTGTATTCGGTACAGGCTCCCTTTCCCCTCCCGGCCCTGTGTGAGGTGGGTATCATCTTCTTTCACAGAGGAGGGCGTTGGGCTGAGACGGGCTAGGACATCGGTGCCCTAAAAAGGCACGGGGTGGCCAGATGCAATGGCTCATGCCTGTAATCCCAGCACCTTGGGAGGCCAAGGCGGGTGGATCACGAGGTCTGGAGTTCAAGACCAGCCTGGCCAACATGGTAAAACCCTATCTCTACTAAAAGTACAACAATTAGCCAGGCATGGTGGCAGACACCTGTAATCCCAGCTACTCAAGAGGCTGAGGCAGAAGAATCGCTTGAACCCAGGAGGTGGGGGTTGCAGTGAGCCGAGATCGTACCACTGCACTCCACTCTAGACAGAGTCTAGGGTGAGATCCTGCCTCAAAAAATAAAAAATAAAAAGGCACAGGGCTCAAAGGCATGGAACCAGGACTGAAACAGAATCTATGCCTGTTCTCCAAGAGCCTCCCACCTCCACTCCCCTAGCAACACAGGTTCCTTTAGCTGACCACCGTCCATATCATCAAATGAGCTCACACACACGTACGCACATGCACACTCAAACACACAACAGGCTTGACCCCAAATTGAGATGGAGACAGGATAGCAAAGAGGGGGAACAGTGAGAAAAGATTTTTCTTTTAAGAAAGGATTCTTCTCCATTGTAAAAGTCAGCACCAATTTGGACTGGTCTTTTTATATGTCTCTCCCGTGCACCTCTTAAGCCTGAGGAATCGTGTTCCGCGCAGAGGGAGTGGATGCTTAGGAAGAGCTGGGGATGAGATGCGTGACACGCAGAGACACTCAGAGACAGCTGGACAGTGTGATCAGGTGATGAGGTGGTCACCGCTGCCCCATGAGAGAACAGTTTAAGGGGAGAGCAAAGCCCCTTCCAAGCCTCACTGCTCTGCAGCCACTTGGCCCCACAGTAATTTGTTTTGAAGTGAGATTTTCCTTCTGCTTTCTTCTCAGGCTGAGGAAATGCCAGGCAGGAAATTGCCACCCTCCCATGCCTGTTATCTCTCAGGGCCATGCCTCCGCCCCCAGCCCTCTTTCATGCCCCGCAGAGAAGTGTGAGCCCAGGTCCCTGGATACCCAGCATGCAGCTCCTGGTGAGGCCTGGGGACCACTCACCCCAGCCGTGACTGCAGTGGGAGCCCCTAAGGCCCAGCGGAGACCAGGCCATATACACACCTGCTTTGAGCCAGCCACATGGGCAGAAATCCTTTCTCTCTGTAATTCAAAAGGTTTTAGTCAACCTGGCCAGGTGAGGAAAGAATAGAGGGTTCTGGAATAGGAGTCGACCCTCCTGGCTCTGCCCTTGCTGGCCGTGCAACCCTGGGCTGGTCTCTAAGCCTTCCTGAGATTCCCTGTCCTCATCCAGTAATGCTGAGGGGGAAGCAGCTCGCGTCTTCTAGGAGCGAACTCCAAGTCTTCAGGATACACCCCACTCCACAGAGACAGGGAACCTGCAGAGTCTTCCAAAACGATGACCGATGGCTGCAAGGTGCTTAGCATGTGGCCACTGCAAAGTAAGACTCAAACAGTGGCTTTGCAACAAAAAACCGAAGGCCACACTCATGCGTCTGAGGTAGCTCACGGGGCATGAGCGTACAGGCCCTGAGCTGTCCAGTGTGGTATTTTTTAAATCCAATGCAATTGTTTAAAACCATAAGTCATCACTACCCTCAGGGACAGCAGCTCACGACGCATCTCTGGTTTTGCTCACTGAACCTCAGTCCCTCCTCCAAAAATATGGAGCAGCTGTAAGGATTCCCAGAGCCAGAGCAAACGCACCTTGGGGTCTCAGCCCACAGGAGACATTAGCAGGGGATGTCACCAACGTCCCATCTGCAAGCAGTTTTGAGCACACGGGTGCTGGGCCCAGCCTGAAGTGGGCGAGTCCTCCACAGCAGGGGTCATGAGGACTACAAGGTAGATAATAAATACTATGGGCTCACGAAGACTTTGCCAGCAGCTGCCAGGAGGAGAAAGGGAAAAAAGGCAGGGGCTGGAGGAGGAACTACTGACATCCTCCCATCCTCCGAAGGAGAGTGCTCCAGCCGCCCGCAGAGCCAGGCCACCACCCCAGGCTCCCTTTCTCCTGAGTGAACAGGATGAATGGTGTGCTGCGTGCTATACCTGAAAATAGCCTTCCCTTCCTCGCTCCGATTCAGAGGGGAAGGCGGATGACTCAAGCCTCCTCAAGCCTCGCAGGCCAGGGCAGCAATTGTCAAAGACTTTCATCCCAGTTTCAAAGGGAAGAAGGCCAGGGCCCAGGAGATGATGCCTCTGACATTTGTACAAAGCCTTGTCTTGGAAAGAAACCAGCTCTAGGTCTCCTGGCTAAACTCACTGTTCTCGCCAGTGTTCTTATTAATTTGAACAATGAAAAGATCTCTCCAAAACAATGTGTCTGCAACCAGCCACGTCGGGGCCTGCAAACGCATGCGCTTCTTCGCTGGATGGTCTGCCCTTTCATTTCCAGGATGACAGCACAGGCACCCATGTTTCCTGGTGAGTTCTGCACAATTCTGCTCATTCCCTCTGCACTCCTTCTTGCTCTCTCGCTCTCTCTCACTCTCTCTCGATTCAACATGGACTCCATGTGCCAAGACCTCTCTAATCTGTCCTGATTCCATCTCAGCATGCAAGACAGGAACAACATTTGGCCACAAGCAAACAGACTGTAATGTGCCAGAAGTGGGCAGATTGATAAACACTGGCCCCATTTCTGCTATTTCTCTGGCTGCCGCCACCAGCTTACATTGTCTGCCTCCCTGACTCATGGGTCTAACACTTCGGGAAAATAAAATGACAGATGCCCATGAATCCAAAGCAACATAGACCATCCATGGCCAAGTTTTTAAAGGCAATGCACTAAACACTGCTGTGAGAGGCTTGACTGCGGGAAGCCCTGGACAGAGGGCAGACAGCAGGGAGGGGCCCGCGCACAAGGGCAGGGACAGCAGGACCGGGTGGCGTGGGCCAGCCCAGATTGAAAGGAATGACCCAAATGACCCTATTAGAGAAATTTTTCTAAGAAAACAATCCACGGGAATGAAAAAAAAAATCTATATCAAAAAGATGCTCTGTTGTTTCTGTAGGGAAAAAGATAGAAACACGTTCAAGTTGACTGCCCAAGAATGGGGAACGGGAAGACGCTGGTAACAGAGCCATCCTTGGAACTTTGCGCCACCACTGGAGATGGTATTTGGGAAGCTTGGGAAGCAGCAGAGAAAACCACAGGTGCTGGAGCTGCGGCAGAACGGGGGAAGGGTTTACAATTCTACCGAGATGTGACCATTTTTTAATTATTAAAAACTACACGGTCCCATGAAAAAGACCCCAGAGAAAATGTGGCAAACAAAACTCGGATGCGTTGTGGACGGCTGATGGGCTTCTTGTTTCTTTTGCTGAGCGTTACACCTAATTGCAATATCACTTGTGCAATCTTTACTTTTTGAAGAATGCAGCCAGGCTGCAGAAAGAGCTGCTGGGATAGTCTATGCTCTGTATTTCAATGAGCATTTCTTGGACCACTACCAAGGATGGATACCAGGCACATACCTTCTGATCGAAGCTTTCCGGAGTCAGGTAGAAGTTGTGGAGAGGAACAAAATAGTCTTCCAGAAGGCCCATGAGCAGAACCAGGTACACGCCGTCTGCAAACTGCAGAGAACGACTCGTGATGTTTCCGGGCAGGGTGAGGAGTTGGCAAATGCTTTGCACAAACTCAAGGGGGGCATACTTTTTCTCCAGAGACAGGGTCTCACTCTGTCACCCAGGCTGGAGTGCACTGATACAATCAAGGCTCACTGCGGCCTCGACCTCCCAGGCTCGGGTGATCCTCCCTGAGGCGATTCTCCCACCTCAGCCTCCCAAGTAGCTGGGACTACAGGCACACACCATCGCACCCAGTTAATTTTTGTATTTTTTGTAGAGACAGGGTTTCGCCATGTTGCCCAGGTTGGTCTCAAATTCCTGGTCTCAAGTGATCTGCTGGCCTCAGCCTCCCAAAGTACTGGGATTACAGGTGCGAGCCACTGCACCCAGCTGGAAATATTTTCTAGCAAAGCAATCCATCCCTCCTCTCACTTTAGGCAGGAGAATCTGGAATCAAGTGAAGGCCTGAACGTGAAGTATTTTGAGACCTGGCTCCTAATCTAGAAAAAAGCAAAAGGAGAGGTGGGCTCTCACACATGGGGCACTGCAAAGACCAGAAATGATGGGTGTGTGGAGCTGAGTGCAGCTGCCTGGCTAGGACCGTGCCTCTGGAACTGTCCCCCACTGCTGACCCCAGGGATAGTACTGACTCCCATCACTCAGGGCTGTTGTGAAGACACAGCGAGATGGCAGGCAGGGAGCACCTGGCACATGTGAGTGCTCCATCAGCATCAGCTGCTGAAAAGATTCATTCAACTCTGCAGGGTGCAGAGCCGGGACCTGGTGGCCCTCACCACTCTGTCTTGCAGCAGAGACCACAGTGAGTGCGGCCCCAGCCTCCAGGGATCTAGAGCTGCTTTCAACATGGTAGCCAATGGCCTCATGCAGCTATTTAAATTAAAATGTTTTTGTTTGAATGTTACTTTTTTTTTTTTTTTTTTTGAGATGGAGTCTCGCTCTGTCGCCCAGGCTTCAGTGCAGTGGCATGATCTCGGCTCACTGCAAGCTCCGCCTCCCAGGTTTATGCCATTCTCCTGCCTCAGCCTCCCTCCCCAGTAGCTGGGACTACAGGCGCCCGCCACCACACCCGGCTAATTTTTTTTGTATTTTTAGTAGAGACGGGGTTTCACCGTGTTAGCCAGGATGGTCTCGATCTCCTGACCTCGAGATCCGCCCACCTTGGCCTCCCAAAGGCTGGGATTACAGGTGTGAGCCACCGCACCCGGCCGCTAACTTATTTTTTATTGTGATAAAATATACATAATCTGAAATGTACCATCTTAACCATGTGTGAGTGCACAGGTCAGTAGCATTAAGTACATCCTCACTGTTGGATCACCCTCACCACCGCCCATCTCCAGAACTTCTTCATGTTCCCA